ATATATATATATATATTTTTTTTTGCCCCTAGAGAAAAAAGATCATTTAAGCCTTGCAGTGAGGGGGTGGCCCCACTGCAATGGTTAACCTTTCAAATTCCTGGAGAGCTTCTTTTAAGCTGCTTCCTCGGAGTTCAGCTTTAAGCATATTAATATTAGCATGTAAGGCAAATTACTATCTCAGGAACAGATAATCCAGTCAAGAAAAGGAAAACTGAGTCATCACTCACCCAGGTACTCTTCCCGTGCTGTCACAGAAAGATCGTAATGATCACAGTCCTTTTTGGCATGAACAGAATAATATGATTGTATAATCTAGAGAGAGAATTAGAAGGTGAGTGATAACGGATCAAACCAGGACTAAATCGAATCTAACATTATTTCACAATTATGCATTCTTAAAGTCCATCTCCAGGTTAAATTGGCAACACCCCAATCCTCCTTCCAACTCACCCATCCCTCTCCTAGAAAGTCACACTTTAATAACAAAAACCCGATTCTGTTGTGTCACCTTATTCCGGTCATCCACCACTGCAATCCTAGTCTCCTAGTGACTGGTCTAGGCACCATGCCACCACTGGAGACTTTAGGATCTTGTAAAGACCTTGCCGATAAACCCAAAGGGAGGTGTCTACCCTCTCCCCAAAAAGCCCCCCCAACCCCACCCCTGTTAATACATTATATTTTCCCATATAGTGTTTAGACCCATCAGGTGAAGTTCTTCCTCCTGGTGCTGCTTATGTAATGAAAGGTGAGCAGTGTTCAGTCCAGGGGCACTGTGAGTCCAGGCTGTGTAATGATGCACCTCTAGTGTTCCAGGCTCACATCAAGTGGGGTAAATTACGCCGCCATCATCATCATCAAAACAGGAGAAGAGGATCGGTGGATGGAAATAGGAGCAGTGAGTCTATGGGGGGCAGCTGTTTTTATTTTTTAACCACTGCCAGGGGAATCGATTAAAAAAAAAAATCTGCAGTTCCATCTCACATGCATAGTAGGAAAAGCTGCATCTGACATTGTCCTAAAGTTTAAAGTTGATCGCACAAAATCTGTTAAAGAGCAACTCCGGCCTCTGTGCTTTCTGCCTTGCATAGAGAGCCCATTTCCTACATTCAGGCCCACCTAAACAATATGTTATGCTTTTTTAACTTTTTTTTTTAATGTCTTCTGGCTGGTCATTTGATGTGCTAGGACCTCTTCGGTTTTTGCCTGGCAGTGGGCGATGATGGACATAACATCAGCACCGCTCTATTCATTAATAGAATTTGAGTGCAGGGCACTGTTGGTAGGGGCAGGACCACGAGGCCCTGTACTCACAGTCTTTCCTTAGTCTCCCTAGTTAAATGATGCTGGGTGTCATTTAACCCAGAAGACTTAGGACATCTTGCGGCAGAGAAGAGGTACTGTAAGGGACAGCTCTGGGTTGAAGGTAAGTATTGCAGGCAGCTGCATTTTTCTCAACCTCCAGGAGGACAGATAAAAAACAAAGAGCCTGTAGTTGGACTGTAACTTTTTTATGACATTAACAGAAACAATTCCCTATGTAGACTATGCTAACTGGGAGAAAATTATGAACAATTCACCCATATCTGCCACTAAGAGTAATGGCCAATAGAAGTATTCCAACTTACTGTTAAAGTTGCCAGTCCTTTCCCTTTTGCAGTTATGATACAGTCTTCTTGAACAGACATCTGTGGGGACATTGACAGATCTTTACATCAAAATTATAACTAAAATAAACTTATATTTGATGCAGTCTCTCAATAGCATTGGCAAAGCAATTTTGTTTTTGTAAATCCTACCAGATATTCTGTAAGTAAATCTGTTATTTTTGTACTTCCTGTAATAGGGTGACAATACTGTTTGTTCTGCAGTGAAATTAAGTATTGTCATGAAGGGCCTTGCATTCCCATTAAAGTATAAGGAATGTAAAACCTGCTTGAATTAGGTCATATATTAGGTCAGAAGAACTTCAATGGCAGGTCTGTGCATCTCAAACTGATGCCATTCACACAAGCCCAAAGCTTATTGAGACTGGCCATAATAAAAGAAGTTAGCCACACCCTCCTGCTGTTATGATGGGCTCTCAACCGGAAAACAGAGTTGTCCTGTTGTGTTCCACCATTCCACAGCCATAGTCCTGGCCCCACACCACCATCTTCTTCTGTGATGTCATTGAGATCTGGCTTCCCATGACACTTTGGCAGGTCTGCCCCCACCCTCCCGGTCACTGTAAGTCCCTGCTTCTGCAGCCTACTGAAATACAAACCCCAGAAATGTAGGTATTTTGAAACAGTCGGTTTATAATGCCGCCTACAAATGCTTTGCATACTGGCAAACAGAAAAACATTTTGAAGGCCGCCCTCTAACATTCATGCCTAAGTTTTGTGAGCAAGCAGATTATAGGGCCAATAAACACAGAGGGACAAGACCTGTGTCCCTCAATGTTTTGCGGTATGCACAAAAATTTTAGTTAGTTATTTTATCGTCCACTGAGGGACAGAGGAATTCAAGAATTCTGAAACAGTTGGAATGTGCAAAAGCTGTCCAACTGAGGGGTGGGCAACACTCCTGCCCTGATGGAGGCAGGAGCCATCTGCAAGAACTAGAATCTGAACCAGAAGAGGTGCATTTTCCTGCTAACAACCCAGGGGATGCCACAGAGCATCAACCTGATTCTCAGACTAGGACAAGGATCACTTACAAAGATAACAACTACTTCAAAGGGCACAGAGTTTGCACCAGCAGAAGCTGTGAGCCACAGCAACCACCAGCAGGTGAAGTAACCACCTGAATGGGGAGAAAAGATCAACAGCAAGAACAGTAAATAAAGGGAATACAGCTTTAAAATAGATCCCTAAGCAAAAATTGGACGACAGGTCTACAAGGTAATATCAGCCAGTCCAAGGATGACAAAAGGCCCAGGGCATAACTTCTGACCTTTAGGTATCAGGGAAGAAGGCTTTATATAGATGAAGAGATGTCTAGGACACCCATCCAATCTTGTATGAGATACTCGATATAAAGAACTGTCTAGCATAATACACCAAGGGCATAGTCAGGGACCTCGGGAGGTGGAGACAATGTAAATGAAACTACTCTAAGTCAGACAGACTGACAAAACAAGGGGGAAAAAAAAGGAGTGAGGAGACAACCACCTCGTAATGATGCAACAATACCGGAAAACAGTAGAACAAGCAGTTGTGACCACGAGGACTCCTATGGCATCACTAGAACCTGGCAGGGAAAACTCCCTGGAGGGCCTGTCTACCTAATTCAAGACATGGGAGTACAAGACCTGCCCTGATCCAGCAAAGTGTCCACAGCCAAAGAACAAAGGGGAGGAACCTTAGCCAGAAAGCTATGAATGAGGAAGTTCAGCGGAGTTTGTGAATCAGCCACAGTAGGAGAACTTGACGCCAAATAATCTGAATCCTACGGGGGTGTCTGCGGTAGGTTTATAGCATGAGCTGTCTGCTTATAATCTAAGGAAACACCAACTGTGGTTTCTTCCTGATGTGCAAGAGATAAAGCATGCCCAACTGCACACAACTTTGTCCCCATAATCTAGAATACAGAATAGACAGAGTCCCAAAAGTTAAAAAAAGGTGCCTCTAAAAGGAACTGTGTGGTTGAGATTAACACCCTTAATATCATCCAGCATGGAAGCCAGGTCACTTGCCTTGTCACAGGGAGAATTCCCAAGCCTTTCCGTAGATGAAGGTCTTGCAGGACCAATGTGATGGCCAATAAAGTGTATGTCATGGGACTTACTCTCAATGGGACCCCCAAAGAAGCAGGCATTGACTGCTCTGGGAACCTGACTCCATTCCAAAATATAATAGTCCTGACACAGGCGTTCTCTCACGATGAGGGAGAGGAACTATTCCACAGACCCTAAGAGACTAAGGGCACATACCAAGGACCATTAAATCCATTGGGACTGCCTGTGCATCTAGCCTCAACACTAGACTCCCAGATACCAAGGGGGGGG